AAAAAAAAAAAAAAAAAAAAAACAACAACAACAAACAATTACACACTAGAAGTAACTTAGAAACAAAGCATCAAGTTGAGGATTTTGATCCTCAAAAACTTAGTTGTTACCATACAAGTTTAAAAATTGAAACGAAACTTGATCTTATAATCACATTTATAGCTTTAGCATAACTCTTACTTGTTAATATGATTTAAGGAAAACATTGATAAGCTAATAATTGATTAACTTAAAAATTAAAAAAATAAAACCAGCTGGACACAGTAGTATAGATTAGCAAATTACTCCATTTCCTCAAACCACAAGTAATGGAAAGTGTTTCATGAAGATCAGCACACGTAGACAAATCTTTTCTTCCTCACTTTCTGGGGAAACAAACACATACGAAACAGAGCCACTATTCACAAAATATTATATCATTTTCATTAAAAAAATACTAATGTATTTCAAACGAAATTTTCTTTTACTTGTTCAACCAAGCACGTTATGTCACTTATTTTGGAAGTTGTATTTGAACTTTTGCAACGCCAAATTCTTTTCAATTTTCAACATCTCTTTTCCAAATGAATACGAAAGGAATTAGTCCTTTATTCCCTCTCCATCTCCCTCTTCCTCTCTTTCTCTCTCTCTCAAACACTCATGACATATTTGTGTTAACGTTTCTGTCAATGTCTCTTAATTTCCTTTTCTTGACTGAAAAAATGAAGAATTTTTTTCAATTCCAGATGTTATATATATAAGACAATGATTGATACACACTCGGATGTGCACCCCCCACATAAAAAAAAATAAATTTGACCGGATGATGAGCATTTTTTTTTTCTATGATGTGTGCACACCCGGGTGTTAGATCCGGATGTGCACACATCATTTTCCTATATATATAAATAGTGATACATACACATTTCAAAAGTTATATATTGACGGTTTTAGTTAGTGTGTCGTTGAGATTGATAAAAACCGTTAATTTTAACGACAGAAATAATGAAAACTGTCAGTTTTAACGACATAAGTAACAAAAACTATCAATTTTAATGGCATATTAATAGAAACCATTAATGTATAACAGAGTATATAATTTTAGAGGGTATATGTATCATTTTCCATATATATGTTTTGAAAAAGCAAATTTTATCTGTTATGATATAGTTCATAATTTCATGTACACCCCAAAAAAAAGAAAAAAAGAAGCATATAAATACCTTGATAGAAGAAAGATGCACCAATTAAATA